TACTCAAGAAAATGTCAGAAGTTGAACTACAGCTTTGATTGAAGAACTTTGTATTGTTGAAATGTCCTTCTACGAGAATCGAGCTCACCATGTCTAGTGGGTCATAGCCCTTGACTCAAGTTATTGTGCTTTGGTCTTTGAGAGCATTTTGTTAGAGGAAAATAAATCCTCTTGCCCCTTGATAGACGTCTGGTTCAACATAACCCTGCATCACAGACCCTTGAGACCCTTGAAATGGTTAGTAAGAATGCTTATGATGTTATGATGTTGATGATGACATGAATAATAATCACAAACAAAGCACACAAAAACCTTAGTTTTAGTCTTGCATGGAGTTCATAGGTAAGTACCCTCTTGATGTTTAGTTGGTTCAACCTGTCCTAGAAAGTAATCGGGTTCTAGGGAATCTCAATATCACTTATCTTTCTTCATCGGACATTGTTTCAGCGCAAGCCTCTTTATTGGCGACCGAAATATCCCGAAAGTCTGATCTCAATGAGCGTAGTATCGATTATCAACCAACTTCGGACTGCACCAAAGCCGGTTATCTCACTACTTCCTAATGGACAAGTTGTTCAATTAAAGGTTCTAAGGCCAGTTAGTGCTTCATGACACCACACAGCGGCCCCGTATTCTCCTTGACTAAACTCAAGGGCTACCGGTACCAACAAATTTGTCACACTAACGTAGCCATCGCTTCAACCATGTTGGTATACCCCGTACAGTTTCCACAACATATTGCTATTTACCTAATGGTGTTCTCTGATCCAGGTAGAGGATCAAAACAGGCCCAAACAAAGATCCAAAATGTAAAGCAAACAAATCAAACAATAAAAGAAATTAAATATGATCTAGATCTATGGTAATCCCACTTTTAAAATCTCCCCAGCAGAGTCGCAAGTTCTGTCATACGGTGGGAGAACTGACTCGGGTGTTTCGCGTTTTATCGCAAATATCGCGGATAGCAAGAGTCGCTGTCAACTTTTCTTTTATCCAATAAAGGAAAGGTTGAAAAGAACAGGAAAGACCTCTCGAGATATTTTCTTGAGTTCGGGGGGTAAGTTATGAAAAGGGAAGGTGTTAGCACCCTTTTCATCCATAGTTATCTATGGGCTCTTAGTTGCTTGCTAGATCACTTTGAAAAATGCTTTGTTTGAAATATGTTTGTGGTGGGCTTTTTGAAAGTATTTTGAAAACGCCTTTGTTTCGGAAAACTTTGTAATGATTCTCGTCTCTATAAGAATGTATACAGAGTATTGGTTTTGAAAATAGTTCAAAGAGATGTTTGTTTTTGAAGATGTTTTGAAAGTGTAAGTGTGAAAATAGTTTTGATTTGTGAGTAAGCAACTACGAGTGTCCTACATACTCAAAAGGTCTTTGTTTTTTTCCTCCTCCTTTATATGTTTCTATCTTACCATTGATTGGTAAGAAGCCCCGTCATTAGATGTGAAGGGACAAGTACGGGTCAATCGTATAGTCATAGAAGGCAACTTATGAGATGTTTTAGCAATTTTCGTATGGGACTAGATCATTTACCGAAGGAAACATCGAGGGACATCGAGGGACTACGATCTTTTTTATTGATGGTCTTTGCTAAAACACCCATATTCGAGGGACGTGACTATTTTCCGAGGCAACAAAGTGAGATTACCTTAAAGGTGCGTTCGTGTGAAATGTGTTTGATTGCATGCATTGTCTTTGAGATTAGGGTTTTCTAACGATTGATTTTATCTTGCCATACACACTCTAATTACTAATAATTATATGAAAAGCGATAAATTTTTGCGGAAATTAAAATCCTACGCTATTACATCACTTTAAGGGATTTGGGTGTAAATTTACAAATGGGGAGTTAAAAGCAAATAAAACCTAATTTTACTATTACAACCAAATCGAATGAAAATAAATGCAAAAAAGTCAAAAAAATTAAGATTTATGTTGTCTAGTCTGACACGGGCTGTGTCCTTGGACACAGGCACCTGTGTCAGTACCCTGTGATGATCCATGCACATTTTTTCTTTCTGCACCAGCTAAGCTGACACGGGACGTGTCCTGTGACAGTGGCACATGTGTCAGCACCCTGACTTTCCATTTTGTACATTTCTTGTTCAAGCAGACCTGACACAGGCCGTGTCCCGTGACACGGGAACCCGTGTAAGCACCCTGTCCTGCATATTTGTTAGCTTATAATTCTAGTAGACCTGACACGGGTTGTATCATGTGACATGGGCACCCGTGTCAGCACCATGTCCTGCACTTTTGTTAGATTTTTTAAAAAGATGAGTTGACACGGGCCGTGTCATGTGACATGGGCCATGTCGTGTGACACGGGAACCCGTGTCATCCCCTAGTCTTGGCTTTTTTTACTGAGTTTTATTTATTTTTATTTATCTTTTATATATATTTTGAACACAAAAAAAAATGATGTATGGAAAAAAGATATTACAGTTTGGAAAAAAAGTATACCTCTTGAAGCGAAACTTTAGAATCCGTACGGATGTCTCTGGATGCAAAGAGATGAATGATCGAGCTCTTCTTTGGAGCTCCTCCAATCCTTTCTCTGTGCCACAAAGTTCCAGAATCGCTCCAACCCTGTGAAAGGTGCAAAGTACTGTTTTTTTGTATATGTTTAGAAGGTTATGATAAAGGTGTTACATAAATTGTTCTTATGTTAGAACAATCTCTATGTGATGTATATGAGGTGTTTGGGTAGTTGGTTTAGGGGAAAGTTTGCAAGGTTGTACAATAATGGGTTGAGGGTTTTTCTATTTTTGAGTGAAAATAGAGTTGAAGATGAGCAGAGTTTTATGAATGAGCTGAGTTTTACAAGAATGATTTTTTTTCTTCTTCTCTCCTTTTTTCTCTCCAAAAAAAATCTCTCCCCATGTCTTATGAAATAGTCCCTTTTATAGATAGACTTGACTGAGATTTAGGAGGGAAACAAATAAGTTATTTTGAATTATTTTTTCCTACTTTTTGATACTTTTTCCACACAATTTTCTTTATCCATTTTGGTGCAATTTTGTGGCTGTTATGATGCAGGTTGGAGCAGACTGCATAGAGCAGTTTTGGACTGGTTTTTTGGACAGATTTTGGACTTTATAGGACAGCATATGCAGATTTGTGACAGGTTTGTGGTGCAGCATAACACAAGGTTTTTTGTAAGACATCAATGGGGCATGGTTTTGGAGTGTTATGTCAATGTATAGAAGGAGCATATCATACTTTGTTCAGCAATAACTTGGACAACATAGTTTGCAGCATGAAACAAATTTTGTTTGTGAAGCAATTTATGCAAATTGTATCAAAGACAAAGCATTGTGGTAAGGTTTTGAGTCAAAGGAAACAATTCAAACAAGACAAAGTTTAGAATTTATAAACTTGCAAAAATGCCATTTTGTAATAACTTGAATTATTTGTAACATCTTGAACTATTTTGAATTGTAGTGAAAAGATGTCATGAAGCAATGAACTTAACTTAGAAAAGTTTCCAAGTCTTGCAAAAGTTGGATTTTTGACTTTCTTAATTTTTGATGATCAAATTTCATATTTTGGATGTCTTGATGAAATATGATTTTTGGGACTCAATTTTGGTCAAAAAGTCAAAGTTTGACTTTTTAGTGTACAATTGACTTTTTCCACCAGTTGACCGAATTTTGTCTATCAATCCACTTATCTCTGGAGATGAATCGAAATATGCAATTAGGTCAAAATGACGAGCTCGGATCCTTGAGAAAATGCTTCCAACCAATAAGCCAGGTATTAGGTCAAAAATCAAAGTTCAGTCATTTTCAGTAAAAACCCTAATTTTGCCCATTTTGCCCTTTTGATAGTTTGAATGACTTTCTTGGAAAATTGTGATCCAAGACTTGAAACTTGACAGAAATAATCTTAAGGGTCCATAATGATCCATGAAAGTCATTTGAAACATTAGAAATTCAACTGCCTTTGTACAAAACTTAAACCCTAATTTGAGGCATCAGTGCTGAGGAGATTATTTGACCTAATCGATGCTTACGCAAACTTGAGTCATTGAAGATATTTGTAGGAAATATATCGAGAAATGAGAGGGCAAATTTTGGGGTACAACACTTACAAATCAAAGAAAAGATTCGTAAATCAAATGCTCAGAATAAGTGTTGAAGCATCATCGATGTGAAAATAAATCACAATCAGAAACTCAAACATATCCGCATATCACACAATAATCCTGCATAAGATATAAGTCTCAGAAATCAAAAATACATCACAAGTCTCAAGTAATCGAATAATCAAGAATTAATTCCTAAAATCAAATAACAAAATCTAACAAATTTTTATTAATTTTGTGATTTTTTATCATGGTCTCAAAATTATTCAACAACATGATTGGAGAAAATTCTCTAACAAGATAAAAACAAAGAACGAAAGCAATTATGAAACAAAGGGTATGAAATTGGTGAATGGAGTCTACAGCTCGAGAATAGGCATTAAGGCCCAGCATGCAAGAGTCTCTGGTCCATTTTTGTTCCTAAGCTCTAGAGTTGTTTCAAAAAAAATGATGGGCCAAAGGCATGGGAAATTCGGCCCAGCTTCATTAATAAAGACTAGTCCACTTTATTATTTTGTTTTTATTATTCATTATCATTAATAAAAAAACTAAAGTAAATGAAAAAAGAAATTTGAAAGGGACGGTGTCGTTTGGGTGTGTGAGCTAGGTTTTTCACATATGTGACTTTCCACCTTCATTCAAATAGAATTCTCTCCCTTCTTTCATTCTCAACTCGCGGCGGAGCGCTCTTATTCGATTCCTTATCGCCGCTGTAACAAACACCATATCTACCATACTTCTCGGCATCTCATCATCTCTCTCGACCTCCGCTCGCCGTCATTGTGGCCAAACGTGATATCTCTATCATCCTTCATCTTAAAACCCTCGTATCACACCTAAGTCCCAAACTCTCTGTCTCTCTCCCTTCATCACCGATTCAAGGAAGGAATAACAACATACGACTGCAAAAATGTTACAGAGTTTAAAGCTTAACGACGAGACGGACAAGCTCAATCGTGAAAGCACGGAAGAAAACCAGAGAGAAGTTCGAATCAGGTATGAAATCTTCTTCTACTTCTTTGATTCCACGCGTTTTCTATTACTGCATTTTCGTATTGATGATGCGATGAAGGTGAATCGCAGATCGCTGATGTAAGACGTGCGTGTTGTGCTGAAAGTATTGAAGAATCTTTGATGATGATGATGATGAAGGATGTTGAATTGATGTTGTAGAAATGTTATGCGAAGATGGTTTTGCAGATTCGAAATAATTGAAGCAGATAGAATTGAAGATTCAGAAGTGTTGAAGCTTAAAGATGAAGTTGCGTTATGAAGAAGATGATGCAGATCAATGAATCGTTGTCGATGTTGATGGAAGGTGATGATGAAAGTTGAAATCGGGAATGGGGGAAGTGAGAGTGAAGGGTTGAAGATGAAGATGGAGAGATAAGTTTGCGAAGAGAAGGTGAGAGAGCTTTTGTGAATTTTTGTGGTGTGATTCTTATGAACGTGAAGAATGAAATGATCTCAGGTGAGAATTGTTTTTATACTCTGCTGAAGTTTGTTAGGGTTGAATCAATCTGAGCCGTTGATTTTTACAGTTTGTTACAAAGATGAATGGATGAGATGAGAGATTAGACTCTGAGGCTTGATTAGCAAGTTTAGTTGAGTTGGAATTCGGATATTTTGATTTTCTGTTGTTCTGATATTTTCTTTTCAATTTTTTTGCATGATATCTGAGCTGTAAAACTAAATTCCTTTTGTTTTGTTTCTGAATAAACTGATCCGACTATTTTTCCTCTGATTTATTATGCAGAGCAGTGGTTATGTTCAAGTGAAAGCTTCCGAATCTGATTTATAAAACTGGTTTTTCTTGTTAATGAACTGTTTTAGTTGGATGTCGGCTTGGTCATGAGGCAGATGGACACGGTTTTGTATTGGATATTTGGTATGTGAATTATCTCAGTTTACTTGTACCAATTGCATCTATTTTTATGAACTGGTTTAATCATTTTTTATTGATGCAAAGCAGTTTAGTGTTAACATGTGAACTGGATTTGAAGTGAGCTGAATTGTTTCCTGATTATGCAGGGTATGGTTTCTCATGGTAAGGCATGAATGAAGATGGAGAAAATTTGATGAAGGTATAGGCTTTAGGATTACTTTTAGGTTTAGAAGCATAGAACATAATGTCTTGTAATTCTTCCTTTTTCTGTAGTATTTTCAAACTGTAAACTTAAACTTACTTTGTAACTTGTGGATTCGTGATCTTGAATCAACCATGAATGGAGTATTGAGATTCATGGATGTCTTGAATGCACTTCAAATTATTTTTAATGGACTTTGAATAGAAATCTTTGGTGAAATCTGAAGCAGGGAATGTAGTTTGAAACTCAAACACTTTTCTCTTAATGAATACTTGGACTTGAATGACTGAAATTGTCTTAACAAAATTGTACGAATCAATCTTGCACAACAAGCTTGAACATGATTGAATCTTTGATGCTTGAAGTAAACTTGAACCAAGATGAACTTGAGGTCTTAGGACTTAGTAGCTTGTAAACCATAAAAATCATGACATACCTATTTCCTCCTTTCCAATTCGAAATCCAAATTTAGGTTCTCTTTTCTCGAGTTAAAACTTGCAAACCTTATTACATTTTTTCAAATGAACCAATCTCCAAACTTGTATGCTTCAGACAAATTTAATCCTTTAAATGAACCAACTTAAATTCATAAATCCAAATTAAATTGCAAATGTAACAACTTATTTCAAATTAAATTACCAATGACTATAGTCCATATCTCAGTCCATCAACAAACATCTCAAAGTAATCCTAAATCAAGATAACTCACATAGGAAAAAGATATTGCTCACAAAGGACCCACAACTTTACACCATATGCCATGATTCAAAGTTTTAACAGTCAGATCCATAAAATATCCCAACTTGAAAGACAATGACCCCAACATAAGACTAATGCCCTTGAGGGAAACCTTGAAGAAGATAAGACTTGAAGCAATAGAAGTGATGATGATCACAAAGCCTTAATCAATCTTCCCTTGATGAAAAATAAATCCTCAGCGAACATGAATAAAAACCCTATCTCTACTTTAATGCTTAAAGAAGAATCATATGAAATCAACTTTATTTGACATATATACCCCCTCAAAACACTGGGAAAGCCCTAGCTTGCACAACCACTAAACTTTGAACCTCAAGCGCTTTATTGAATAAAATGCATGTTATGCTAATGACCTATTGAAATGAAGCAAATGAATACAAAGTCTAAACCAGATAAAATCGAGATAGGAGAGAAAAATTTTGGGTGCAACAGATGGTCCAAAAGAGGACCTTCTGGAACCTCAACCTCTATCTCAAGCTATATGGGATGACCGAGTCCCAGAGAACTTCAAATCACCATCATTTACAGCCTATGACGACAGAAACAATCCTCAGAAGCATGTTATTACCAACAACAACCAAATGGCAATAAAAGGCCCCATTGACTAACTAAAGTGTAAACTAATGGCCGACACCTTTAAGGACGTGGCCCTGTGATGGTACATGAGCCTACCACGACTGTCCATGGAAAGTTACTCGGACCTGACGAAGAAGTTAATCTAGCACTTCTCCGCCAACAAACACTGTAAAGGTGTCTACAATGTTCTTGTTCAACGTCAGACAAGGTCAAGCGGAGTCTCTCCAGGACTACTTGTCCCGGTTCAACGAAGATACAATCAAAGTATCTCATCCAAACCATGATCTATTCGTTAGAGCATTCCAACACGGCCTCCGAGCAGGACAATTCAATGAATCCTTAGCTCAGAAGCCCGCGTCCGCCATGAACGAAATCATTACCACAACAGAATGTTACATAAAGAGCGAGGAAAGCAAACTGGAAAAATAGTCCAGGGATTCCCCAGAGGAAATAAAGACCAAATATGAAGGTCCGGGAAGGAAGCAGGAGCCTTCTCGAACGACCTCGAGAGACAGGCCTCGAAAATGCACAACTTAGAGACCTAACTGATGTCCCTTCAGCTCAAATGACATGGATACACCCTTAAACACAAGAAGAGGCGAAATATCATAGGAGGTTGTTGTATCCCAGTTTCCCCCCCTAATATTCCTCTATCATCTCATATCAAGATTACACTTGGGTTTGTTTCTTCTCGCTATCTCTAGGTTTACTCATGGGGGATCACCAAGCACTTTTATTTGTACATTGTGGTTATATTTGTCTTGTGTTGATTAACTTTTAACTAATAAATACAATGAATATTTACTTTAAATGATGATACTATATTTGAGGGCACAACACATTTCATCAGGTTTATTCATAGGTTCAAGAGTTTATTTCCATGCCTTCTTCAACAAAGCTTCATTGAGATTCAAACTTCATCATTGAATGTTCTTTAAATTAATATCATGAAAAGGTCTACTATGATTTCTCATGCCTCAATTTTTCAAAAGAAATCAAGAGATGTAAGAATTGATTGAAGAAGTTTGACCTAATTGGACAAGTTCTTGATTCCTTGATTATAAGTGCATAACTATCTCAATTATTAATATTTGGAAGTGGTTATTGTTGCTATGGGTTCTTATTATCATCCACAACAACTTCTATTCACATAGAAAAAAGTGATTGTGCAAGAAAGATTGTCAAAATCGAAAGGGGTTTCCAAGTTATTTTGGTGCTCTAGGAGCTAGGGTTTTGAACTTCTAAGAGCTATATCTTGTTAATATTTTGATATTTTTGAGTGATTCCAAATATATGCTTCTCTTTAAAAGGTTACCAACCAATCACTTCAAAAGTTTCAAGCAAATTTTGTGTGGAAGATTCCTAATGATGGGGAAAGATTACAAGTCCTCTAGATAGGCCATCAAATTTCCTTATGTGACTTCAAGAGCACATAACTTGGTCAATTTTTATCTCTTTGAGCTAATTATTTTTCCATGATGATGTTAAGAATTTGAAATTCAACTCCTCTTTTATAGGCAAAGCTTGAAAATGGTAAGAAGATGCCTCAAAAACTCAAAAGATTATAGGTCACCTTATGGATTTTCACCAAATTCAAAGGATCGTAACTTATTTAATATTTGTAATTTTTGAGTGAAACAAGTTTCACAATACTCTTTAAGGAATCCACTTAAATCTAGAATCATTGATCAAAGATCAATTTTGAAGGAAGACCTTGTTTGGAGTCAAAACATTATAGGACATTTTTTGAGAAAAACTTAGAATTTTTCTAAGTACAAAAAGTCAGCGTATTTTTCATGATTTTGACCAAACACAACTCCTAGCTCAATCATCCAAATTACCTCTCTCTTTTCACATTTTAAAGATTGCGACCTTATCTTTTAAATGCTTCAAGAATTATGCCCTAAGACCTCTTGAGTTGTGAACACCGTGGATTCAAAGTTGGTACCTGTTATACCCCAATTTCCCCCCTAAGATTCCTTCATCATATCATCTCAATTCAATCACAACAAGATCACAGTGGGATTTGGTTATTATCCCTATCTTTAGATTTTGCTCTAGGAGGAATCACCAAGCACTTTGACTTGTATTTTATGATCATCTTTGTTTTGTATTGATTATCCTTTAACTAATAAATACAAAGAGTTATTGCCCCAATTGTTGATGTTGTAGGTTAAAGCACAATACATTCCATCAAGATTGATCTATGGATTCATGAGTTCATTTATGTGCCTTCCTCAACAAAGCTTCATTGAGATCCAAGCCTCATCATTAAAGATGCTTTGAAGTAATATCATGACAAAGTATTTTATGATTTATCTTGCCTCAAGTTGTCAAAATTAGTTCAAAAGTACAAGGGTTGATTGAAGAAGTTTGACTCAATTGGACAAGTCTTTGATTTCAATGATCACAAGTGCATATATCCTTCAATTATCAATATTTGGAAGTGGTTTTGGTTTCTATAGTTTCTCCTTGTCATCCTCAAAAACTTATATTCACATGACAAAGGTATTTGTGCAAGAAGGTTGGTCAAAATTGTAAAGGTTTCCCAAGGTATTTTCTTGCTCTATGAGCTAGGATTTTGAACTTCAAAGGGGTATATCTTACTCATATTTTGGTATTTTGAGTTATTCCAAAGACATCCTTCTCTTAAAAGGGTTATTAACAAATCACTTCAAAAGTTTCAAAGAAATTTTCTGTGGAAGAAACTTGATGATGAAGAAAGATTACAAGCCCTCTAGATGAACCCTCAAAATACCCTTATGTGACTTCAAAGGATCATAACTTGATTAATTTTTATCACATTGATTCCATTATTTTTCCATAATGATCTTGAAGATGTGAACTTTAACCTTTCTTTTATGTCCAAAGTGTGAAAATGGATGGAAGATGACCTAAGGATGCAAAAGATTATAGGTCATTTCATGAATTTTTGCCAACTTCAACAAGTCATAACTCTCTCAATTTTTTGAGATTTTGAATGGTTCAAGTTTCAAAATTTCATTCAAGATATCTGCTTCATACCATCTTTTTTGGTTAAGAACAAATTTCAAGTGGAATGCCATGTTTGGATGCAAGACATTATAAGTCATTTATGAAGAAAAACTTAAAAAATTTCTAAGTATGGAAAGTCATTCTCTTGTTCTCAACTTTGACTCATTACAACTTTCAGATCAAACATCCATTTTATCCCATTCTTTGCACATTGTAAAGCTTGTAATCTCCTCTTTCTAAAGCTTCAAGAATCATGTTCTAAGACCCCTTGAGTTGAGAATGTCATGGGTTTGAATTTGGCCATTTGAAACTGAATTTTTCACCAAGTAAGAAATTTAAAACTCTTGTTTTGGCTTCTAATCACAAAATTGTTGCGCG